TGTGTGTGTGTGTGTGTGTGTGTGTGTGTGTGTGTGTGTGTGTGTGTGTGTGTGTGTGTGTGTGTGTGTGTGTGTGTGTGTGTGTGTGTTTTATCTGATCCGGATGGTTACTAATTCCTTTTCTTTACGGCGGTCATTTTTGACCGGATGTTGACTAATGTTGACAATGTTGATTAAATCATCCAAAATTCAATGAAAGCGTTGATCAGCTTTTATATATGTTCAAATGTCTCCTGTGAAGGATATCATAAAGCCTTAATGCAATCGAATGTAAAACAAAAAGGTTATGATTGATGAAAGCAGTAAATCGGTCAGATTTGACCCGAAGACAACAGGGGGGTCGACGTGTTTCTAAGACTTCCGATTTTTCTCACAATCCTGACTTTTTCCCAGTGTGCACATCCTTTCTAAAAGTTCGGACTTTTTAAACCCCGATCTTTCTACGTTTAACCCTCTTCACATTCTCACCTGTTGACGCTCCATCAATCTCAAGTTCCCCTCCAGGAAGGTGTCAGCGTGGTTTCAGCCAATAGCAGCTCACAGGGACAATTTATAGCCAATAGCATGTCAGTATGCATTGTGTCTGTGTGTCCTGTTTCCAAAGAGATTAATCACAGCCACCTTTGTGATGATTCACTGCTGCATGGGTTTCTCAGTATTAAAAAAACACCTGTCATGTTTTTAAGTATCTCTAATCCGTCTAACCAGTATATTTATATCCTAGTTAATGTTTCTGCCAAAGACCTATTGTGTTTTAGTCGGTGGGGCAATGTTTCTAAGTAGATTTTCCTCAAGTAACTGCACTTTATTAGGATTCTGACTTTCTCAGGTTTGATTTTTTTCACAGAATTTTGCCGTTTATTTTTTTTATTCCGACTTGTTTTCTCAAATTAATTTTGACTTATATATTTTTTTAATGGCTTTTTTCTTAAATTAGAAAAAATTTTAAGAGTTCAGATTTTTCTCACAATCCTGACTTTTTCCTCAAATTTGAATTTTTTCTTGATTTTTGAACTTTTGTATTATAGAATATAGAATATAGAATTCTGACTTGTTCTCCAAACATTCTGAATTTTGTCCAAAAAATCTGACTTTTCTCCAAAATGTCGGCCTTTTTTTCTCAGGTTTGACTTTTTAATTCTTCTTTTAACTTTTTTTTCACAGAATTCAGTTTTCTTCTAATTCTGCCTTTTTTACTCAAATTTATATTTTCTCAGAATTCTGACTTTTTTCTCAATTTAAATTTTTTCTCAATTTATGCATTTTTTATTAATGTATTTTTTTTTTATTTAACTTTTTTACCAAATTGGTTTTTTCTAAGAATTCTGACTTTTTTCTCAATTTAGAATATTTCTCTATTTTGGATTTTTTTTATAAATGTCTTCTAATTTCTAAGAATTTGGACTTTTTTCAAAAAATTCTGACTATTTTACTCAAATGTTATTTCCCTCAAACTTCAGACTTTTATCATGGATTTGATTTTTTGCCCAGAATTCAAACTTTTTTCTCAAATGTGTATAATCGTGTCAGTTGTCTCCTGATGAGTTAATTGAACTTCTACTGATTGTAGATTCTCCTGATTTGTTTGTCCTCTGCCTCTGTTCTTTGCAGTCATGTCAGACGTCGAAGAAGAGTACGAGTGAGTACAGAAACATCCTTCAGTATTTATCATTTCAGCGTTTGCATTAACCGTGAAGTTAACTAATTCATATGTTTCTCTCTATTTCTCTCCTCTTCCCTCCAGGGAGCAGGGTGAGTTCAATGTCTCCACATTTAACACTTTAGGTTTGCTAGAAACAACTTATCTGATTGTAAATGAATTTCTCTGGGTCTCTTTTCTCCAGAGGCTGAAGAGGAGGTGGAGCCTGAGGAAGAGGAGGATGAAGAGCAGCGGGTGGAGGTAGAGGAAGATGAAGGTAGGTCAGGGAAATACCCAGAATGCAAAACGGCTTACCTGCATCCACCCTGATTAACCAAAGTGGTTTGTAGTCAGCTGCAAATATGGTTTGATCACAAAGAAATAGCAACAAGATGTTTCTCAATGGATGATTTTAGTATCAGGTGTACTTAATAACAAGCTAAAAGTGGCAAAACAATTGAATGTCTATGGATGTTCTATGGATGTACACACATTATGACGGACAACAAGGGTATTAATGATAAGAAAATATGTTTCCTTGTTTTATCTGTGTAATTGATGGGCATCACTAA